CAATATCCCAATGACAACCTTGAAAGAAAACAAACAAAAGAAATAGAAAAAAAAAATCCTAAAATTCATAAGAAACCACAAAAGACCTCGAATAGCCACAGCAATCTTAGCAAACACAAAGCTAGAGGCATCTGACTTTCTGATTTCAAAATATATTATAAATCTACAGTAATTAAAACAGTAGGGTACTGGCATAAAAGCAGACATATAGACCAGTGAAACATATAGAGAGCCCAGAAATAAATCCCCACACTTACAGTCAATAGATTCCAACAAGGGTGCCAACGGTAGATAATAGGGAAAGGATAGTCTCTCCAACAAATTATATTGGGAAAACCAGATGTCCACATGTAGAACAAAATTGGACCCTTACCTCATCATATACAAAAATCAACTCAGAACTGATTAATGACTTAAACATAAGACCTGAAACAATAAAATAATTCGAAGAAAACATAGAGGAAAAGCTTCTTGACATTGGTCTAGGCAATGATTTTTTTTAATATGATACCAAAAGCAGAGGTAACAAAAGCAAAAATAATCAAACTAAAACAAAGGAAACAATCAGCAGAATAAAAGGGCAATCTACAGAGTGGGAGAAAATATAGATGTGTTAAGTGGATAATATTCAAACTATATAAGGAACTCAAACAACTCAATAGCAAAATCTGTAATAATAAAAGCATAACATGCAAATCTACTGAACAACCAAACAGCAGAACTACTGTCCAGACAAACTTTCAGAGGACCACACTATGACACGCCCTGGCGCCAGGCCAGCAGAGATGGGTGCAATGCAATTGGTTAGGGGGCCCTGCCATCACCCCACTAAAACCCGCAGAGGAAGGCCCAGCCCACCAGCCAGGGAAGCTGTGGCGGGGGTGTGCGGCCAGCCAGTGATGCCCCACAGAAGGAGGTCCAGGCCAGCCAAGTGATCGCACCCACGCCTGTCGCCCACAGAGGGAGGCTACCAGTGGTGGTGGGTGATGGCAAGCAATGGCAGTGGCAGGGGCAAGGCAAGCTGCTGGCAGGGGGCTAGAGGGGGAAGGAAAGCCCTGATAGGCTCTGATCACTACCAGGCCTAGGGACCCTACCCAAGGGGTCCCAGATTGGCGCAGACTGAGCTGAGGGAGGGACACCCCCCACCCTGCACAAATTTCATGCACCAGGCCTCTAGTATAATAATAATAATACAGACAGTCCTCAGGTTATGTTGGACTTGACTTATGTCGTTTCGTGGTTACATCACTATCTCCCATTTACAGTATTTATTTTTTTTTAAAGTTCTATCATTTTGACGTATGTACACATGTGCTTTCTGGGGTTTTTTTTATTATTTATTCACCACAAGTAAAGGTCAGGAATTATTATCTTTCTTTTAATTTTTTTTTTTTTTTTTTTTTTTTTTTTTACTGTTTCACTCCATTGCTGCTGTGTATGTGCTCCACGTGAGTGACGTAGGTGCTTATGCAGGAGGGTTCTGACTTACAGCGAAAATTGAGTTACGTCGAATTATAGGAAAGGATCTCCTACGTAACCTGAGGACTTTCTGTAGGCTGATTTGCCTGCCCAGCGTAATTCAGTGGTTGAATGTCAACCTATGAACCAGGAGGTCATGGTTGGATTCTAGTCAGTCAGGGCATAGGCCTGGGTTTCAGGCTCCATCACCAGTGGGGGATGTGCAGAAGGCAGCCAATCAATGATTCTCATCATTGATGTTTCTCTCTCTCTCTCTCCCTCTCCCTTTCTCTCTGAAATCAATAAAAATACTTTAAAAAAAAAAAAAAAAGAAGGAAGAGTTTACCTCTCAATTATACAATGAAGATACTTATTCAGTAAAGGTAACTAAACTTTGATGATGCTAGATAGAGATGGGATAACTGCCAGATTGATGTTCTTGAGGAGGCAAAATGAACTGAGATCAAGTGCACAAATGGAGGAAGTGGCCTTTGCTAGGAGCATAAACATTTCATCCATGGGAATAGAAGAGAAGACAGAATGTATAGTCCTTAGTGAAGCTTGAAGAAATATATAAATTTTGAAAAGTATTTCATGATTGCTTCAGTGGAAAAGAAGCAAGGTGACCATCTAGGGGAGAACATAAGGAGTGAGGTATTGGAGATTTGCAGAGAGAGGAGAAAGCATGCAATATTCATCTAGAACAACAAGAGAGTGATGGAATAAAGCATAAGAGTAAGATCCCTGGGCAGGGTTTGGAGCCCACTTGAAGTTAATGATCATGAATATCAAACGAGACCAGTCAATGAGATTGAGTGTTTTCCTCCAGCCCCATTCAGCTGCACATGTTCAGGCACAAAGTAGCAGATATATCAACCAGCAAAGTAGGAGACAGGAAAAGGAGCTGAAGATATAAACATGGCAATGATTATAATGAAGATAATTTAAGTTCCATGGGAGGAGCAAAGTGAGTACCTGATGGTGTCGGTTTTAGTGAAAAGGTAGTAGGAGCCATGGGCTTGTCCAGAGGGATGGAAGGTCTGATAGAGTTTAAATATTTAAAGGCCTAAACCAGAAAATTAGGAGGTACTCTGAGAATAAAATGGTTGGAAATGTGATCATGGAGGTAATGACAGGGTCAAGAGTAAGAATCGATGAGGTAGAAGGGAAGACAAAATTGTTGAAGGGAAAGGAAAGAGGCCAAGACTTGGGGCCAGAGGAAACCCATGGAAAATTAAAATCACCACAAATTATGCCAGGTGTAAAATGTGTGAGAATTATAGTAAATCAAGTTCTAAAGTTCTCATAGCTATGATAGAGACATTTGCTATACATGTATGTGCTACATGATTAGTATAAAATATGTCTGAAACCTAATCTTTTTAAACAACATTTTGTTTCTTTACAAGTTGAGATAATATTACGAAGGCCATAAAGAGAGTGATGACATAGTAGATGAAGAAAGCCATATCAAATAAAACTGTCGGCAGTGGCTTTTATGAGAAGGTGCTAAGTCGGTCTTTGAAGAAGGTACCAATGCTGAGTAAACTGGAGGAAGAGTCAAAACCCAATTTTTTAAATAAAAAAATCAGAATGAAGATAGAAACATTTCAAAGAATAAGATATAAAAATGGCTAATAAGCATATAAAAAATGATCCATGTTGATTGACAATCAGAAATGCAAATGAAAACACAGTGGGATAGCATGTAAGTACATCAGATTGGGTAAGATTTAAGAGTCTGGCAATAAGAGATGTTTGCAAGGATGTATGGAAATATGCTCTCCTCACAGGAGTGTAAACTATGAAAAACATTTTTTGGGGGAAATGGGGAGGCATTACCTGTTAATTTGAAAAGGCATACATAGTACCAATTAGCAATTCACTCCTAGATATTCACAATAAATATAAGTAAAAAGTCCATGACTTAAAACCGGATAAGTCTGCAATTGATTCCTACATCTAACACAAACTAGCTATTTAATTTTTAATAACTTACTTTACCATTCTCAGTTTCATCTGTTGTGAAGACTGAAAAAGATGAATTTTTTTTCAAAGAAGGCAGGAGTAAGTTTTGGATATGTTTATGGCATTAACTGTGATGATTTCAGGGGTTTATACTTGTTTCCAAACTCAAGTTGTATACATACAGTTTTTTGTATGTCACCCATGTTTTTAAAGAAAATTCTTATTTAAATTACTCAATAAAAAGGTGGGTATAGCCAAAACCAGTTTGGCTCAGTGGATAGAGCGTCGGCCTGCGGACTGAGGAATCCCGGGTTCAATTCCGGTCAAGGGCATGTACATTGGTTGCAGGCACATCCCCAGTGGAGGGTGTGCAGGAGACAGCCGGATGATGTTTCTAACTCTCTAGCACTCTCTTTTCCTCTCTGTAAAAATCAATAAAATATATTTTTTAAAGGTGGATATATAATAAGTGCTCAATAAAATGATTTGTTTATATTAATGTTTTAATTTTACTGATACTATTAATAGTCTTATAACAGCCTTAACCTTCAGGAAGAATCTGCCACAAATATTTTACTTTAGCATTAAAACAAAACTTCTCTTAAAGAGAAATCAGTATTTTCCATTTATCCCAGAAATTAAAGAACAAGCATTAAAGAAATTTCGGGTGGGGTGGGGACCGGGTGGAAGGGAGCTGGGGAGGAGAAACAATTGTAATAATCTGAACAATAAAGATTTATTAAATTTTTTAAATATATTTTATTGTTTTTTTACAGAGAGGAAGAGAAAGGGATAGAGAGTTAGAAACATCGATGAGAGAGAATCATCCATCAGCTGACTCTTGAACACTCTCTACTGGGGATGTGCCCTCAACCAAGGTACATGCCCTTGACTGGAATCGAACCCAGGACCTTTCAGTCAGCAGGCCTATGCTCTATCCACTGAGCCAAACCGGTTTCGGCAAGATTTATTAAATTAAAAAAAAAAAAGAAAAGAAAGAAAGAAATTTCATGGAGTATTTGGGACCGTTTGATGCTGGGAAGTGAGTAGTCAAGTTGAGTGATCTTTTTTTCTGGAATGCCTGAAACCACAGAAAAACATTGGTCCGGAAAGAAAGCAAATGTTTCCAATTGTTACTGGCGCATCATTTCTTCCCTAGACAAGTACTCTGCCGCCTAGAGGCCTAGAGAAGTATTTCCTTAGAGTGACCTGCCAACCACAGACGCGGATCCTGGGCCGGACCACTTGGGGGCGGAGCCTCGGAAGGGGTGGAGCTTAGCGGAAGTGAGATTTGGGTTCCCAGGGTCTCCATTGCCATTTCCTCGGTCCTCCCAGCGCGCGCAGGTCAGCTCGAGGAGCCAAAGATTCGAAGTCTGAGGCGCGGGTTCCCCACAAGCTGGACTGCGAGCCTCCAGACAGGGCGCCCAGGAGCTCCGAGGACTTCCCCCGAGGACTTGCCCCGCGACGCGCGGTCTGGCCCGCCCGCCCCCAGCCCGCTCACCTGCGGCCGCCGCCGCCGAGTGACACTCCCTGCGCCAGGCCCAGGAGCACCGCCCGCCCGCGGCGCCGCCCCGATGCTGGGCAGACGCCCCCTCAGCCCCAGCTTCCATGCCGCGCCCCGGTGGGAACCGCAGCCCGGGGGGCCCGGCCCCGCCAAGCGCCGCCGAGTCCAGGAGCCCGCGGGCCCCGAACACGGAATGGCGCCCGGCCTGCAGGGCCCGGCCGAGCCCAGGGCCGCCGCTGCGCTCACCTCCGTGGTGGTGCTGGCCGCGGGCTGCGCCCTGCAGCTGCCTCTGGACAGCGGCTTCGACCTGAGGCTGGAGCCCGCGCCCACGTCGGTGCTGCGAGTGCGTCTGGGCGGGCACACCCTCGTGCTGGTGCCCGAGGCGCTCTGGGGCGCGGGCGCGGGGGCGCGCTCGCCGGGCGGCCTGGAGCCCGGCGCTCCCCTGGACGCTCCCGGGGGAGGCGTCGCCGTCCAGCAGGGATTCTTCTGTGCTTTTGTCCCAGAGATCGTCGTCCCAGAGTTGGCCGTCCCAGAGATCTCCATCCCAGAGATCTCCATCCCAGAGATCGCCGTCCCAGAGATCGCTGTCCCAGAGATGGCCTTCCCAGAGGTCTCCTTCCCAGAGGTCGCCTTCCCAGAGAAAAAGGCCAACGACGGGGACGAGGACGCGGACCCCGGGTTCCAGACTCCTTGGATGGCCGCTGGAACCGGGTTAGGAACCCACCCGCACGGCCCCATCAGAGCGCCATGGCCCCAGGCCCCCACGCCTAGCCCAGAGAGATGCACGCCTGGTCCCTACTACAGCCTGGACTCCCACCTTTGGGAGCCCTTCCCCAGCTCACCGCTCCAACCCCTACCTCCTTCTCCCAGTCCAAGTCCTCAGGTGCGCCCCCGGCGCCCTCTGGGGCCTCCTCCCAAGGCCCGCAGAAGGCTGTTCCAGGAATGAACTGCCCCTCCCTCCAGAGTTATACTAAATGTCCTACCACCTGGAAATTGAGCACTTCGTGTGCAAACAGTTCCTTCCGCGCAGACTGGCTATAGTAAGCAGATGAGACGTTAGGAAGAGGAAGGATATTCCAGACCATCGGTTTTCTCTTTTTTGGTGTGTCCAGATGCTCTTCTGGAAAACTGCAGAACAGCATAATGGTAACTGTGGGATTTTATCAGCTGTTTCCAGCATACATTGGGATTTTTAAATCTGATCATCTGCTGGTTTTGACCTATAAGCTGATGTAAAATGTTTGCATTTCTGCTGGTCCACATTATTTCAGACCTTTTTAATTTTACTCTGACCTTTTTCCTATGTAAATCAAACTTTTAACATTTAAAATTTTATTTATCACATTTATACTTCCCATTTTTATTAAATAAAATATTATTGATCAAGCCCTGAAGTCAACATGATTTCTTAAATATATTTTTATTGATTTCATAGGGGGAGAGAAACATCAAGGTTGAGAAAATCATTGATCAGCTGCCTCCTGCACGCCCTCTACTGGGGATGAGCCCACAACCTGGGCAATCCCTCTGGAATTGAACCCAGGACCTTTCAGTCCACAGGCTGGCACTATCCATTGAGCCAAACTGGCTAGGGCAGTGATCGGCAAACTCATTAGTCAACAGAGCCAAATATCAACAGTACAACTATTTAAATTTCTTTTGAGGACCACATTTTTAAACTCAAACTTCTTCTAATGACACTTCTTCAAAATAGACTTGCCCAGGCCATGGTATTTTGTGGACGAGCCACACTCAAGGGGCCAAAGAGCTGCGCATGGCTTGAGAGCTGCAGTTTGCCGACCACGGGGCCAGGACAACATGATTTTATTTTTTAAAACATCAATATATTAAATTTACCACATACTTTACCAATTCTTCTCTGCCTCTTTATTCTTATGTTCCACTCTTAAAGTCTAGCCACAATTTTCTCCTTGCTGAAGAATATCCTTTAATAGTTCTTTCTACTATGTTCTATGTATGATAAACTGTCTTGGTTTTGTAAGCCTGAACATGTTTTTGTGTGGTAAACTCCCTTACTCTTCTGTTTTATTGCATATTCACTAATTCTAACATGATGTTTAACTAAAGATGTTAGTCCATTGTTCTGCCATTTTGTTGTTTTTGAAAGCAAGAAGTTTTCTGCCAATCAGTTTGTTATTCCTTCTATATTTGATTCTGCTATCAATTTTAGCATATTTTAAATGTTCCTTTTCCTTTGGTGTTTTAGAGTTTTATTGTAATGTCTCTGGGGTAAATTCTATTTTTATTTGGCTGAGTGGACTTTAATTAACTATCAATATCGGGAATTATCTCTTGACTGAAATCCACAAAATCTTAGGCTCTATATCTTAGAATATCCCACATATCCCCATCTCTGGGAATCCAATCAGATATCCTATATAATAAAATTGTAATATGCAAATTGTTTGACCTGGAGTTCAACCGCTCACTATGATGTGTGCTGACCATCAGGGGGCAGTGCAGAATATGGCAGGCATCAGTGATGCACCGCTGGCAGTGAGCAGCAGTAGAGGTGCTGCTGGCCTCAAGGAGAGCAGGACTGGGGCAGCAGATGGTGGAGCAAGTGAGTGGGCAGCTCCAGGCCAAGGTGGGTGCGAATAGGGGGTCAATCACCCCACAGATAGCAACCAGCATCAGGGATGGAGGAGAGGGAGCCCCATGGCATTTATTTGTGAGGGAAATTATAGCTAAAATACACTCTCATAAACCACTTGCTTACTTTTATAAGTGCCTGTGTCTAAAGTCTCTAAGATTTTCCTGGAGGCTATGGAAAGCCTTTACTCCATTTCTGACCACTCCTTATGCAAATGGTTCTTGAAATTTTTTTTTAATAAAAAAAGCTTTTAGAATATTCAAGTGAAACTGCAGTTTTTTGTTAGAGAACAGGCTGTGGTATTTAATATTAATAGTAAAAATGTATTATAAGGTTAATTTTTTGTATTTAAACTTTCTATCTTATTTGTATTACATTGAGACCTTAACAATTAGTTTATTCATTCCTCATTGGTGAAGCTCAGAGAAGGACATTTTACGAAATTAAATAGTATGTGTTGAATCTGTTAAGTGAATGAACAAATGATTTTTCCCTATCATCACATCTGAAGAATTCTTATTCATTATCTCTGTGAGTAATACTACTTCCCTATTCTCAGTCATGTAGAACTGCTTTCTCTCTGATAATGTATTTTCATTTGCTTTTCTTATTTCATATGTTTTTTAACCTTCTTAGCTTCCTGCATACTATTTCTAGTTCAGTATTTCCAGTTTCAATTCTGTCTAAACTTTTGTTTAACCCACTCATTGTATTTCTTGCTTCCATGTTTCCATATTTAATCCCTAGAAGTGTTGTTGTTTTTTAGTTCCTTTTTCAGTTATAGCTGATCTATTAATTCAGGTGTACAATACAGCAATTAGACATTTATGTACCTTACAACCACCCTGTAAGTCCAGTACCCATCTGGCACCAACATACTTATTATAGTATTATTGACTATATTCCTATGCTGTACTTTATCATTAGTTCCTTTTTAAAGCTGCCATCTTTAACAAATATGTATTAAGTGCCTACTATGTACCATGCACTTTTCCAAACTCCAAGAATACAGGCAAGAACAAAACATTTAAAAATTACTGTCTTCCTAAACCAGTTTGATTCAGTGGATAGAGTGCCAGCCTGCAGACTGACAGGTCCCAGGTTCGATTCCGGTCAAGGGCATGTACCTTGGTTGTGGGCACATCGGTAGGGGGTGTGCAGGAAGCAGCTGGTTGATGTTTCCTTCCTCTCTGTAAAAAAAAAATCAATAAAATATATATTTTTAAAAATCACTGCCTTCATGGAGTGCAATAATTCGCCCAATAAACGATGCTGCCTCTCATTAAAGCAGTAGCAAGAGGAGTGATACGAAGCTGCAGATAGTGGCTGGATATATTTTGAAGATAGAGAAAACAGGATTGCTTGTGAAAGGTGTGAGAGTCAAGAATAAATTAAGAGGTTGGGGCCTGAGCACAAAAAGGATGGAATTGTTATTTTCTGAGATTGGAAGGACCTTGAGCAGATATAGAAAAAGAAATAAGAGCCGAAACCTGTTTGGCTTAATGGATAGAGCGTCGGCTTCTGAAGGGTCCCGGGTTCGATGTACCTTGGTTGCGGGCATATCCCCAGTAGGGGGTGTGCAAGAGGCAGCTGATCTCTCTCATCAATGTTTCTAACTATCTCTCTCCCTTCCTCTCTGTACAAAATCAATAAAATATATTTTTTTAAATAAGAAATGTTCCATTTTCAACGTGTTGTTAGATGTGCCAGGAGGCGGGGCTTATAGTGAGACGCAGGTCACCTGACATCCCATATTGTCACTCAGTGCGCTGGAGAGCAAGACCTAAGCCCCGCCAGGCTCTCCTAGAATCTGGGGCTGCGGGCATCCCGGGAGGCACCGCCGGAGTTCCCAGGACTCGCTCAGCGATGCCCCACCCTGCACCCGCCCGCCCTCAGCTTGTTTCACCTGCCGCCGCCGCCGCCGAGTGACACTCCCTCCGCCAGGCCCAGGAGCACCGCCCGCCCCCGCCGCCCCGATGCTGGGCAGACGCCCCCTCAGCCCCAGCTTCCATGCCGCGCCCCGGTGGGAACCGCAGCCCGGGGGGCCCGGCCCCGCCAAGCGCCGCCGAATCCAGGAGCCCGCGGGCCCCGAACACGGAATGGCGCCCGGCCTGCAGGGCCCGGCCGAGCCCAGGGCCGCCGCTGCGCTCACCTCCGTGGTGGTGCTGGCCGCGGGCTGCGCCCTGCAGCTGCCTCTGGACAGCGGCTTCGACCTGAGGCTGGAGCCCGCGCCCACGTCGGTGCTGCGAGTGCGTCTGGGCGGGCACACCCTCGTGCTGGTGCCCGAGGCGCTCTGGGGCGCGGGCGCGGGGGCGCGCTCGCCGGGCGGCCTGGAGCCCGGCGCTCCCCTGGACGCTCTCGGGGGAGGCGTCGCCGTCCAGCAGGAATTTTGCGCATTTGTCCCAGAGGTCGTCGCCGCTCCAGAGATCGCTGTCCCAGAGATCGCCGTCCCAGAAGACGCCTAAGACGCGACCCCCGGGTTCCTGACTCCTTGGATCAGTGTTTCCCAAACTTTTGACATATGTGTACCCCTTCTATAATTTTCTTAACGCTGAGTACCCCTGGTATTCATGAGAACGTAGAATTAAGCGCAGCTAAGCACGGTGCTGTGCATATCCCCACCAAACTCCGGTGCAACCCGTACCCCCACCAAACTCTTCCCGTACCCCTGGGGGTATGCGTACCACACTTTGGGAAACACTGCAGGAACCGGGTTAGGGACCCAACCACAGGGCCCCATCAGAGCGCCATGGCCCCAGGCCCCCACGCCTAGCCCAGAGAGACACGTGCCTGGTCCCTACTACAACCTGGACTCCCACCTTTGGGAGCCCTTCCCCAGCTCCCCGCTCCAACCCCTACCTCCTTCTCCCAGTCCAGGTCCTCAGGTGCGCCCCCGGCGCCCTCTGGGGCCTCCTCCCAAGGCCCGTAGAAGGCTGTTCTGGGAATGAACTGCTACAAAAAAAGAGACTTAAAAGATACTAGACAAAAATTAATGAAACAATGAGCTGTTTTAAAAAAAAGATAAACAAAATTGGCAAACCCTTAACTACACTCACCAAGAAGAAAAGAGAAGGGACTTAAGTAATAAAATCAGAAATAAAATAGGAGACATTGCAACTGATACCACAGGAATACAAAGGTTCATAAGAAACCACTATGAGTAACCATAAGCCAAAAATTTGGACAATCCAGAAGAAAAGGATAAATTCCCAGAAACCTACAACCTATAAATACTGAATCGTGAAGAAACAGAATCCGAAGAGACCAATTACTAGTAAGGAGATTGAGTTAGTAATCAAAAACCTCCCGACAAACACAAAGTCCAGAACCAG